TTCTTTTCTCCTTTCCTCCATCCCAGTTGTTCTTTCCTTGTGAGCGGTTTCTTTCCCTTTCACAATATCTGTTGTACCTTTTTATTATTATTATTATTTATTGAAAATAGAAATTTAGTCTTTACTTCTGGGACTGCCATGGATCACCATGGATCAGTGGACAATGCCCACCTCCCTCACTAAATGCTGCAGAGCCTTCTCCCATTGGTACTGTCCAGAAGCCATGTGGAAGTGTATGGGACATGTGTGGGACATTTGCTCAAAGAGAAGCCACAAGTTCTGTGCCCCTTGTCACAGTGGCCCTAAATTCCTGTTGGGTGTGTTGTAAACAGAGAAGGCATTCTCCAGCTGTTGTACCTTTTGGATCTTATTTATTCCTTCAATTTCTTATACTAGGGAGATAATACATGCAAGTGTGAATATGCATTTATGAAAATGACCTCTTGTTGCATCTGTACAAAGAAATAATTCAGATTTTTCCCAAAGCATATATTTTCACACATTCAGAGAGAATTTAGCTGGGCCTATCTTGGGTGTCCTTCTTTAAAAATCAAAGCTCTGAATTGTGTGCACAGTTGTCAACCTGTCCAGTCTGGAGTCCAGAGACTCCTAGGGACATAGACTGGATAGGCCTCAAAAAATCAAAAGGAAGCTTTTCACCCATCTTCTCACTAGTATCAGATCACTGGCCTATATGACTCTGAATTATATTGCAGTTTAGTGGCTGAATTCACCCTTCAAATTAACTGAGGCCTAAAGCCAAAAAAAACTAAAGAGGACTAAACCATCTTTCAAGTTCTCAGAAGGAACTGTTACATGAATTAACTTTTGAACTAATTTGATGTTGTATAAATTAGAAACTAATAAGTTAAAAAACGTTACCTAGGATTGGGGGTGGTGCTTGGAAATGAATGCTTGTCTAATATGCACAAGGCCCTAGGTTCAATCCTCAGCACCACAAATATAAAATAAAATAAAAATCTATTGCCTTCTTTGATAAGTTGAATATTTATACATTCTTCTCTTAAGTATGGATAGATAGCATATAAAACATATGTATGTATATATATATATATATATATATGTTCTATATGTACAAATGTACTTTCACTATATGTTTAAGACAGAATATAATATGTCAAGCATATTTAGAGAATATGTTCATATTCAAGAGAATTATATGTGTATATACTTGTAGAACTGTAACTAGTATGTATTCCTTTATCTCACACGTTCACACATACACACACACACACACCCCACCGACTCTTCTGATTTATCCCTCAAGTTCAGTATTACCTTGTTAAGAACTTCCACTCTTTTACAAATGTCTTTTTGTTTGTCCCCAGGATACTATGGGGACGGTCTAAATGCCATCATTGTGTTCGCTGCTTGTTTTCTGCCAGACAGCAGTCGGGCGGATTACCACTATGTCATGGAAAATCTTTTCCTGTGAGTGCTCCTTCTGAAGAAGTCCTTTCAGTCTGTGTCTGTCGATGTGTGGCGTCCAGGAGAGGGTCTTAATGAAGGGAGGTGGATGATGTAGACTGTTCGAAGCCTTTGAGAAAAAGTCAGTAAGATTTCTGTCAGGGACCAGTATTCACAAGGCTAAAACCTCCAAGGAAATCTTATCAGTAGAATACATGAAAAGCAAAATGAACAGAATTTGCCTTGCATGTAAGAATTTTGTAACATTTCCTTTGGGCAAAGTATTGTTTTTGTTCCCTGATAACAGGTTTTCAGTCTGCTGTTTTTGACTTTGCTTATATCTGCCCTTCTTTAGTATGAGTTGCCCTTAATGTTTGGTAAAATCCTTAACATTTTTGAAAGCTGGGTTTTAAATTCACATATTTTCCTAAGGTACCTGCATTAAAAGAAAAAAAAAGGTAACCATGCAAATATATGACCAATACACAATCTCAGATACATTTTTTAAAATTTTTTTGCCTACCCCCCCCAACAATCTCAGATAAATTATCTTAGGTAACTGTTCTGTTCTCATGGTGAAGAGGTAATACGTACAGCTATCCTTAAATGTCTTTCCCTCTGTACTGTAAATGTTGTGTAACTGTGGTGTAACTGGGATGAACGAGTCCCTGTGAGCACTAACAGCACCCCCCTGCCTTCCTGTGGTCAGCTATGTCATAAGCACATTAGAGCTGATGGTGGCTGAAGACTACATGGTTGTCTACTTGAATGGTGCAACCCCCAGACGGAAGATGCCGGGGCTGGGCTGGATGAAGAAGTGCTACCAGATGATTGACAGGCGGTATGTGGGTCCCTCCTATGTCCCCCAGGTTGACTCCCTCAGTTCGCTTTTAGTCTATCAAAAATGTGGTCCCATTTAGGAACCCTGAACTATGCATATTTGAAGAAACAAATTACAACAATATCAGTCCAGGTGTTACTCGATGCCCCAGTGTTGAAAGAAGGAACATCCTGTCCAGATTTTTGTAGAATGTAACCTCAAACTCAGCAGACCAAGTCTATGTTAATTGTGCATGTGCGGTTGCCACAGAGAGGTGCAGCTTATGCATAAAGCACAGTAACCACGATTCCTCTGTGTTATCACATGAATTGGTTGCTGTTCACCTGCACTAAGACAATAGTGCTCAAATTTCAATTGTCACTGTCAATTCAAGGTAACCACTACCTGCTGCAGTGCTTTCATTTGCCACTTTTTTAAGACACTTTACTTTTTGTTGTTGTTTTAGCTTTTTTGAGTTGTTTTATTTTGAGGCAGAGTCTTACTATGTAGTGTAGGCTGGCACTGAACTTGCTTATACTGGCTAGGCTAGCCTCAAACTCAAGGCAATCCTCCTGCCTCAGCCTCCTGAATGCTGGGATTATAGACATGTGCCACCATGGCTGGCAAGACATTTTACTTTTGTCCACACTTGTTTTAATTAAGACAAAATATTTTATTACCATATATAAGAAAAGTGACATTGTAAAAGTGTACGGTGTTTGATATGTATTGTGTCCTCTTAGATGGAATCCCTTGCATAATGTGAGAATTCCCTGTTAGATTTAACTAAAATCTGTCTTATGATTCAAACATTAATAAAGTAATATGACTAATACAGAAAAAATGTGCCTAAAAATCAGAAAATTTCATTTTCTTTTACAGAAGATGAAATGAAGGCTTAATAATATAAATTGTGTATATTGCTATGAAGAGTGTTTTTTTTCCAAAATAGTAAAGATAATGTTGAAAAAAATGGAAAGCATCACTGAACAAAAATATGCCATCATAGTTACAAATTTAAGCACTCCAAGAATACCACCATCCTATTTTATATTTATTAGGAAAATGAGACAGAATCACAAGTTTCAAATTATGTCTCAAGTAGCATTTTTAAAAATTAATCATGGCCTTTCTTATGTTTTTCCATAGCATGATAGTAATTTTCGTAGAGCTCCTAAAATTATTCTTATTCTTATATGAATTTATTTTGTTTTAATTACCATTGAAAATAGGTTCAGAGTAATTTGTTATTTTTTCTTTGCTTGAAACAGGTTGCGCAAGAATTTGAAATCCTTCATCATTGTTCACCCGTCGTGGTTTATCAGAACAATCCTTGCTGTGACACGGCCTTTCATAAGGTGTAGTTGCTAGGGGAGTGAAAGTAAAAGCATTACTAGTGCTTTTTAAAAGTATATAAATTATCCTATAAAGGATTTCATAAACCACGTATCTAGTAAAATATATATTGCATTCCTGTAAAGATACTTTCGACTATCCATCGAACATGAGAAGTGAGAATTTAGAATGAAAATTATGAGTGGGGGGGCCAGGGAGATGGCTCAGTCGAATAAGCGCAGCCCTGGCAGGCGCAAGGGCCTCAGTTCAATCCCTGGTTTCACAAAAAAAAAAAAAAAATTATAAGTGGTAGTTATTTCATAATGAATAAATCCCCTGAGCATTATAAAATATGATCACTATGTTCCTCTTGTGGAAAATGAAGTAGTAGGATTTCCATACCACATTAGAACAGGGCCTAGGTAATACTTTATAAATGATGTTATTTTGTGGAGAAGAGTGGTAATATGAGAAATGTTTAGTAAAGACCAGCCAAGGATAGAAACAACCATATCGTATGTTCATTATTCCATTTCTTCTGAACAAATATCCTGTGGGTCACAAAAGCTGGATGGAGTCTAGGGAACCACCGTGAGAGTTGTATATTTATTTTTAGATAGAAACAAAAATAATGCTCTGCCTTCCAACAACATAGATTAAATACTTTGAAATTTTCTTGTTCAAAGTTATTCATAAATTTCTAAGGAAAGTTCTGATAACTTCCAGAGAACAAAAATAAATGTTAAATCTGAGACATCTTTTTTTTTTTTCATTTAGTGTCTTTGGTACAGGGTCTCACTTCTTAGGTCAGACTTGTAATGATCCTCTGGTATTCAGCCCCCGCAGTGCTGGGATTACAGGCATTGGGCATCACATGCAGATCTGTCCACCGGCTCAGCACGCCCTGGGGGCAGGACCAGTGTGGCATTCAGGCCCAGGAATTGAACCCTGGTCCATGTGCCTGGCAAAGCAGCCACTTATTCTGCTGAGCTATCTCATCAGCCCTCTAATAAATGTTAAACGTTTTTTATTTTTATATAGATTTTGTATACCATCCAGATGCTACCTTTTTGATCAGTAGTCACTCATCTTATTTCATTTTACTTTTTGTGATACCAAGAGTTGAAGCCAGGACCTTCACACTGAGCTACACCCCCCTAGGCCTTTTAACAAGTAACAGTATAGCAATGGTCATATGGGAAATTATGTCTAATACTGGTTTACATTCAGTGGGTGATTATATGTATTAACTCATTTAACCCTAACCATCCTTTGAAACAGATACCATTTGTATTTCCCATTGTATGGGAAATAATCCTAAAGATTAAGGAGGTCACATACATAGCGTAAGGCAGAATCCAGCAATATCCCCTATAAAGGATCAAATAGTAAATATTGTAGGCTTTATTGTTGAGGTGGCCTCACACATACCCATGCTGTGGTCTGTCCTTAGCCACAGACATTATGTAAATAAACAAGAGCTGTATCTGATCAAACTTTACTTACAGATCCTGAACATTAATACTGCATTTCCTAAAGTCTTCACATGTCATTTGTTTTTCTTCTTGGCAGTACTGGGTATTGAACCCAGGGCCTTTGCACTGAGCTACATCCCCAGTTTTTAATTTAAATTTTGTAAATTTTAGGGTGTCGCTAAAGCATTGTTTTCCAGTTGGGCTCCAATTTGTGATATTCCTGCCTCAGCCCTCCACAGTATTGAGATTATCACAAAATAGTCTCTCGATCATTGAAAATTTTTAAATCATTTAAAAACTGTGGAAGCTATTCTTAGCCCCACAGCTGTGTGAAAACACTGGCCAGTTTTGGCCTGTGGGCTATAGTTTGCCAGCACAGGTCCACAGTATCAGAGCCAGGAGATGACAGACCCCAAGGCTTCCTTGTTCTAAAAATCAAGCATGAGCTGCTGTGGACTGTTGCATTCAGTAGTCATCATGTCAGCACCTCATTAAAGACCCCTTTTGATTTAGTTTGTACCAGCGTTACCACTTTGATCTGAAAAGAGGCCCCTGAGATGAGCTTGTCATAGGCCTTCTCATGGCTAAAGGGTAGCGTCTATGATGGGCATATGGCAGAGTCACTTTTTCAAGCAAGTCACTGGTCTATACTAAGAACTCAGACTCTGACAACAGACACAGCACGGCTCAGCTGCCACCCCACCCTGTGGAGCTCCAGGGCCCACAGGGACACAGCAGACAATAAACAACTGCCAGATGGGGCACAGTAGAACCAGTTTGGGGCACGATAGCTTGAGGTAAGGATGAGTATGGGGTAATGTGTGGGAAGTGAAAGCTGAGTGAGGCTTTCCAGAGGGCTTAGCCCACAAGGTGCATTCTGAAAGGCAAATAGTGTTAGCAAGCTGAAATGGGGCAAAGAGCAGTTCAGGTAGAGGAAACAAGCAGCAGAAGGGGGAATGCAAACACAGGACGAAAACACAGGCTCAGAGAACTCGGTTCTAGGAAAGAATCACTGCAGCTGGAGCTTGCCCTCTGTGGTGGGTGCCTACAATTCTGCTCCAAACCCTGTATGCAGTCCAGTCTTCTTTCAAAAGCTAAATGGAGCTTGAACCCTGAAAAGTGAGGAAGACCCAGAAGATAATGTGTCCCTGGTAATGTGTGTTGACCCAAGACTACCTACCAAGGGGCCTAAAAATGACTTCATGGACAGGAAGACTTGCCACAGGTCAGTCAGTGGTCAGTGAGAACCATAGGTAAAATATTAAAGAGAGTGGTACAGAAAAACACCTTTCTGGAATGCACAGCAGGTGAAGGATCACAAGGCAGTTGAGCTGGCACACAGCTCAGCCTGATCTCAGTAGGCCAAAGAGGCATATTTGGTTTTGAAACCATTTAAGAATATTATGCTGGGGAGATAGCTCAGTGGTCTAAGTGCCTGCCTGGCAAGCACAAGAACTCAGGTTTGATCCCTGGTACCACAGGCCAGCCCTGGAACCCTGGGCATCCCATGCTGGCCACTGAGACTGGGTATGGTGGCACACGTCTATAATCCCAGTGCCAGGAGGATCACTATGAGTCCAGACTGCATAGCAAGACCCTGTACCAAATAAATAAATAAAAGATACTTTTTAATTTTTTTAAAGAATATTATGCCCTTGAACAAATCCCATTTTAATTGGAATAATCTACTTTTTAAAATTTATAACAATCCAAACAATAGGAAAAAAATTCAAGAACTTCATATTCTTGAGCAAACTTTTCAGTTGAAATTATACATTTTAAACATGTGAAAAAAATAAAACAATTTAAACATATGTAATTACCCAAATAACAAGAAAATACATTCTTTAGAAATGCATCTCATCGTTACAGGTCGGACCAAATTCTTAACAATTACCAATTCTGCAGATACAAATTCTCTTACCAGTTTCATTACTATCCTGTTAACTTGTTTCCTGTGCATTTATGTCCATACAGAGTTACCCGATGTAGGGGCATTAAAACTTGGAGGAGTGGGCATAAAATTATTTTTAAATAAAACAAAAAATTAGGAAATTAAGTTCACATATATTTTTAAATATTGTCAAGCTAGGTAGATTCTGGAATAACTCCTGGTACAATTTTGTTAAAAATAAATAAACCAAAGAAACCATAATGCAGTGACTCCATAGAGTGGCAGGTACTCAGGAGTATCAGACAGCCTGGTTTATCTAGGTTCTGTGAACTACTAACAGGGAAGCCCTCAGTCTCACTTTCCGTATCCTTAAAAAAGGAAAACAGTAGCACCTATTTCACTAAGCCATAATACCAAACACATGAGTTAACATATATAAACCACTTAACATCATCCCAACCATATCATTTCACTTATACGCTCAGCCCTCCATACTCATAGTCCCTGCATCCACAGATTGAACCAACCACAGGTGGAAAATATTAAACAAGTGAAACAAAAAAAAAATGTGTCTCTGAATATGCAGAGGCTTTTGGACTTCTTCCTTGTCATTATTCCCTGAACAATGCAGTATTACAATTATTCACGTAATGTTTATATTGTTAGGTATTATAAACAAGATGAATTTGAAGTGTATCAGAAGATGTGCATGGGTTCTATACAAGTACTGCACATTTCATGTGAGAGACTTGAACGTGCCTGGATGTTGGCATTGGTGGAGTTTTTAGAACAGCTCCATGTGATTGTGACTAGTCGGGATAGATGCATGTGGAGCCTGAAAGAGCTGAACTCCGAAGTAGAGAGATTAGTAATTACTGGGGCAAGGGTGGGTGACATTTCAAAGGATACAAGATTTTAGTTAGAGGAATAAATTCAAGAGAGCTACTGTATATAAGGTAATATATGTTATACTAGTTCAACTAGCCTTTCCACAATGTATTTCAAAACATTATACACAATAAATATACCCAATTTTTATTTGTCAACACCAAAAGAAGAACAACAACAAAACAGTGTCTAGCGTGTAGTGACTACTCAAATAACTTCAGTCTTTCTTCTTAGCGTGCTGGCGTAAAGGGTTAAGTAAATCAAGATGTGCAGGCTGTGAGCGTAGTCCATGCTTAGCACATATGAGGCCCTGGGATTAAGCCTAGCACCAAAATAGCAAAACAAACACAAAAGAAGATTTAAAAAAGAAACAGTATTAGGGGCTAGGGAGATAGTCACAGCTCTAGGTGCCCACCTGGCAAGTGCGAGGTCCAGAGTGTGATGCCATACTGTCCCCTGAACTCCAGGCTTGCTATGCCAACTCCAAAAAACTACAAGTGCAAACTGCACAGTGAGACCCTGTATCAAAAATAAAAATAAAAGTAAAAAAAAATGATGTTAGAAGGGAAAAGTAACGATTTTTTTTTCCTTTTCTTTTAGTTCAAAATTCAGCAGTAAAATTAAGTATGTTAGTAGCCTATCAGAACTCAGTGGACTGATCCCAATGGATTGCATCCATATTCCAGAAAGCATCATTAAGTAAGTTTGACATTATTTTTGAAGATTTGGTAAGAAATAATATGCATTTGTAAAGGGCTGGGGTGCTTGGCAAGAAACTCACTTCTAGAATGGTGGGGAAGTAGTATCCGATTTTTAAAATAAATATTAAACACAGTAGTATTCACTAAACATAGTTCTTTGCCTATAGCCATTACATTAATATTCTTTCTCACATAATAATGTTGTAGGGGTCAGCATCACTCATTTTTTTTTGAACCAGGGATTGAACTCAGGCCCTCATGCTTGCCAGGGTGCATCACTCATTTTTACCTTGAAGTTTGATTCTGCTTTGGAGAAAATATAAATTTACTGTGAACCAGTATATTTGTTACGTGTGACTCCTTTCTCACACAGGCAGGATAGGATCTTAGAATAGTCTGAATCTCTTCATTGTCTACATGACCACAGGAAAATAGAAATAAAATAACTTGGTTCTATTCTAAATCTTGTTTTTTCTTTTCTTCTACAGTTCTCTTTAGGTACAAGACCAAGTGTAGGGAATTTGCCCAGTGGTGGGTGGAGGATAAGGAATTTTTTCTTGCTCAGCACAGGATAACGGGCCAGCTTGCAAGTAGAAAGTCTGGGTAATAAAGGTCTCCAAAATAAGAATTCAAGTTAATTAATCAAATACTTGAAGCTGAGATACTGGAACAGATACTAGAGAATTAACACTTCTGTCTGGTATGTTGTTGCAAAGAACCATGTTTTATTTTCTCCCACTGTATCTGATTTACCAGTTTTTGTTTTGTTTTTTTTAATTTGATTACAATTGAAATTGTTTTTTTAATTTGATTAAAACCATCAGCTCAAAAAGGAAAAAAAAAAGGACAAGTGTGATGAATCTGCCTCCTTAAGATCAAAAGAGCAAATGGGGCCCTCCAGCTGGGTTTCCAGAGTCCTGTTATACCAAACTTGAAAGAAAAAATACACCGAAACTGGAAGAAAAAGATTCTTCTAATGTGTGTTGGTGATGTGACCATGGGCCAGGCATGGAGGAGCTCTGTTTTTGTCATTTATCTAACTCCCTTGTAAAGCCCACTTTATAAATGCAGAGGAGGTGACTTAATAAGCAGTTATTCACAGAAAGAAGTAGGAACCAGGAAGCTGGGAAACTAGAATTAAAATCCAGGTCAGCCTGGCACCAAAGTTCCCATGCCCTTTTCAAGTGCATTCTTTATCTCCTTTAAAATGTACATCTACATTCAAAGCTCACAGTAGGCATATTGATTTTTCCTCTACTCCAGAGCATCCCTGGACATAGGATGCTAGGGATGCGTGGGGTCAAATGGTTTAGCAGGGTCAAGCTGTTTGGAAGATCCTAGCACTGGCTTTTATTCTCACCAATGCTACAGAGTTCCCTCGAGGAGCACATCTCAGAGTTGAGGCTATTGTCCCCCAAATGGTGCACCCATCTGCAAAATCTTTTAAAAAGTACTTAGGCAGACACATACCTGTAACCCCCGCACTCTGGAAATCTGAGCCCAGAAAACTACAAATTTGACCCCAATCTGGGCAACTCAGACACAACTTAAGGTCTTGTGTCTCAAAATTAGAAAGGAGTGGGGATGTAGCTCAGTATGAAGGCCCCAGTAACACTAAAAATATAAAAAGGTGCCTACCCACATCATTTCCTGTAATGCTTCCTTTGTCCCGTGTAAAAAATGACAAGGATGTTCACTCTAATAGGAACCAACCCTGAGCACTCTCCAAGTAAAATACGGTAATTCTCCCCAGTGTGGTGAGATAGTAGCAGGAAAGGAGAGAGGGCTTTGGGTCAGTTAGATAGGAATCTGCCCTCCTCCTGTGTTCCTGAGACTTCGAATAGTTAGTGGGGTACTGGGGATCAAACTCACCTACCTCAGGCCATGTTTTTGTTTTGTTTTGTTTTGCTTTGCTTTGTGAGGGCAGGGTTTCCCTGAATTACCCAGGCTGGACTTGAGTTTCCTGTCCACCTGCCTCAGGTTCCCACAGTCCTGGGATTAGAGGCCTATGCCACCACACCCAGCCAAGAAACCTACTAAAGTTCTCTGAGTCTCAGTTTTGGCATTTGTAAAGTGGGGAAGTGATTCACACTTCATTGGATGGTCATGAGGAGTGAATGAGCACAAGGTACATCCACACAGGCAGCCTCCCAGCACAGAGCCTGGATCTGCGTCATTATCTATTACGATCATGTTGCTTTTGGAGACTCCCTGTGACACAAGGGAGTCAGACCTGGCCAGGACACTTTGCATGGATCGTCACACATCAGTGCTGAAGGCTGCATTAGAGAAGTGACTTCCAGTAGAAGGGCTCCATTTGGAAAGATTTTCTTCCAGAGGGAGAGCTTTAGCACTGTGAATGTTCTCCTGACATGTCTGTGTTTTCTTCTGTCTTCTGTAGTCCAGCTCCTTGAATTTTCTTTCTGTCATATCTGTCATTGGTCCCTGTTGTTTCATTTTCACATGAACCAATTTTCAAATTGATATAGGCCATTCAAAAGGTCTGATCTCAGCCAACCCCAAGAGCAGCTGGGCTGCTGCCTGCTATAAAAGGACTTCAATGAGAGATGAATTTGTTCAAGTTGGATGAGATTTATAATTATTGATTAGGGTTGATCCTCATTATCTGTGGCAGTTATATTCAATAAAGGCTCTGGAAATACTCAAATAGTGAATGCTGAGCTATTGTTCTAAGAAAAAAAATAGGGCTAGATACCTAAAAGACTCTAGGCCCCTTTTCATCACCAACCAGTATTTGAGCTGCTTTAGCGTGTTTCTGTTTGGAATCACCTTGTTAGGTTATGCCATTGTTCAATATGTATCTCCTCTGTAAGTCCCATCATAGCTTCCTGTGCTTTAGGTACCACCCAGCATTTCAATGCTATGTTTGGGTCATTTTAAATAGCAAAAGCACCAACAAAAAGCCCTGAAAGGGGCCGGGGAGATGGCTCAGTAGGATAAGTGCTTGACTGGCAAATGCAAGGATTTGAGTTCAATCCCCAGTTCCGCCAAAAAAAGCCCTGAAACAGGGAAGCACATCACCAAATGAAAAGCAAAAAGGACACTTATTTACAATATAAAAAGAAAAGGTGGAGCCTCACCAAATTGGACCTCAGTTGGTGATATGTACAGTTGGCCAACTCAGTTCTGTATTGCCACCAGTGAATGTCCACAAGTGATCCAAAACTGTTGCATGTTGATTTGAGAGTCACAAATACATTTTAGTGAAGAGATAAATTTGCAAATATGGAATTCACAAATAATGAGGATTTGCTGTGCGTATTTATAAATTAGAAGTCATTGACGATATATCTAATGAAAATAAGTTTTCTCCCAAAAGCCAATTAGATAATTATTTTGGGAGGCTTGTCTCTCATGTTTGACCATTATTTAAAACCTTTACCTGCCATCTTTTTCATGTTTGCTTATTTTCCTCATGGCATCTGTTTTTTATCTCATAAGGTACGATGAAGAGAGATCTTTTAAGAGAAGTGTGAGGTAAAAATCTGCCAATCTATTATGCTGGACCCTGTGTGTGTATACTCCAGTGTTTCACTTGTGGGTGACCTCAACATGCTGTCAGAGCGAGAGGTTGTTGTATTCCTCCCTTCTGTACCATTTCTAGTCTTTGTCCTGTGTGTAAAGCTGTTGAGGTCAACCTGATTTGCAGCAGAAACCTACTAAGCCAGGTACATCCCTGACTTGGCCCAGGATGCAAGCTAACTCACCATACCCAACACACTGACCTGGCTGTCCCCAGCTTTACTCAGCCAGCATGTTCTGGATCCCCTTGCTACTTTAGATCCACCTTTATGAAGATATTTCCAAAGTAAACATACATGAGCACTTGATGGGAGGAAGTTAAACCGTGTTTGACTGAACGTGCCCCGGTGCACCAGCATAGTTTGTAAAAGCACACGTACCCCTGGCGTTTGGCTCTGCTCTGCTGAGTTACTCTCTCATGCTCTGCTTGCTTCTTTTTTGTTTCTTTTCTACGTTGATAATTTTCGCTCATGCAGACTGGATGAAGAACTGAGAGAAGCTTCAGAAGCAGCTAAGTAAGACTCAGTTTCTGTTTCGCAGCTGGCATGATGTTGGCTTGCATTTCAGGAATGAGCAGGAGAATCTGCATGCTGATGTCTCATTCTTGCATCCTGATAGTAATGCTGGACTTAGGAAATCCCCTTTTCTCCATGGTAAATACAATCCCTGCTGCTCCTCCATCGATTTCCTCCATGATGTCGGTTATCGTAAAGAGAGCATTGGTCACTGTAGTTTGTGTAAGCACACGTGCCCTTCTAGACACCTCCACAATGAACATATCGCAGAAACTGCCACCTGGCCTATAGCATCCCGGCGCCCTTTGAGGTACACTGAGGCAGCAGATCCTTATGAGCACATACTTAGGGGGAGAGTGATGGCCAGAAAAATTTAGAAGATGGTTGTAGAATCAGTTGTGTGTGCTTCCATGATTTAAAATGACAGTGGCACCTTATTTAGTGACCTGGAAGTACCGCTTTCTCACAGCCCCCAAGCTTTTTCACTAAATAGACGGGGGAAAGTCATTGCTCACTGTCATTGAGGTGTGATACTCAAAAAGGCAAGTCAGAATGACCATGAAAGCATAAAGGGAACACATGCCAGTGGTTTTTTTTTTCAACCAATTATTTAATGAGGGAATCAGTAAAGCATTAAAATCAATTTGAAGAGTGTTTAAGAAGTAATCTGCAGTATCTCCCCTTATCTGCAGAGGATTTGTTCTAAGACATTCCACGGATGCCTCAAACCGGAGATTGCACCAATGTTTATTCTTAGGCATGCATACCTATGATAAGGTTTAATTTATAAATTAAACAGTATAGGAGATTAAAAATAATAATTAATAATTAAATAGAACAATTACAATATACTGTAGTGTTACTTACAACATATAAATTGTTTCTTTCTGGAATATTCAATTTAATATTTTCAGGCCATACTTGGCCACTGGTAACTAAACCCACAGAAACCAAAAGTACAGATACACATGTGCTTCAGTATAGGCAACTTATAGAAGAAGGCTTGGATGAGGTTGTTAAGGCCGAAAACTGGCTCAGGTTCAGTGAGGCAGCAAACGGGGAGACATAAACCTACAGATAACCTCTGCCCTTCCAGAGCTGCAAAACACCCTGGGAAGTCGGGAGGCGAGACCATCTCTGAGAGAGCCTCAGTCGTTTCCTTTCATTCTTTCTAAGTTACAAATAATTTTATGACACTTTATGTTCATTGTAGAACAAGTCCTATTTGGAAAGTTTGTTGTACTTGGTAAATTAAATTTTTTCCCTATTTCAGATAGTGTGTATACTATTAATTTTTTTTAAAGTTTATTTATTTTATTTAGTGTGTGTGTGTGTGTGTGTGTGTGTGTGTGTGTGGCCAGCTCAGCCCACCTGGTGGTGGAGCTGGCTGACATGTGGTGCTGGGGGATTGAACCGCGGTCCCTGTGCTAAGCTTGTTCTAAGTAGGTGCTTTAGACCACTGAGCCATCTCATCAGCCCCATATACTATTAATTTTTAACAAGCTGCACTTTTAGTAGCTATTATAAAAGTAGAAAGCATAGACAATGTCAAAATGGCTACACAGTCTTAAGTAAATATGACATAAATACTGACAGTTCTTTGTTGTAAGAGTCAGTTCTTCATCCAAACAATCCAGGTGGACTCTTTTTTCCTATGGTACTTTTTGAATGCAGATAGCTTACAGACTTTTTGCCTACATGTGGATCTTTTGTATTAAAAATTATAGAAAAGTTTTGTGCTGATGCTACCAGTCTCAGGAACATCCTTTGAGGACTTCTGCCCTAAAGTAAAGGACTGAAGGCTGGCCAGATAGCTCAACAGATTAAAGCACCTGCTTTAGTAGAGCCCAGGATCTAGGGTTCCAGTCCCAGCACCACAAGCCATGCCCGCCCTGCCCCTGGGGCACACTGAGAACGGAATAGAAACTGGGCCCTGGTGGTGTGCGCTTGTAATCCCAGCGCTTGGGAGGCTGAAAGCAGGAGGATCACTGCGAGTCCAAGCTGCATAGTGAGACCCTTTACCAAATACATACGAAATAAATAAAACACTTTCTCTCTACTCTTAGATATACACACAAAACACACACTATGCACACATTACACACCTCCTCCAAAACACTTTCAGAAGGCGATTTGTTCAGCCTGCCCTATTTGTCTTTGAGATAAATCCACTCAGAAAGGAAAATACTTTTGAAGAAAAATGATAGCCCCTTCTTATTTTGCAAATGGGGAAGAATCCATCTGCTGCTTTTGAGCAACAGTGTTAAATGATTTGCAAAATTGCTGTTTTCTTTGTAAGGAATGTTCTAAGCTCAAAAAGCAGAAGGGCTGGATTTGGAAGGGTGCCCTTTCTTGATCCATTCCAGCTTCTCTAAGTTTTTCTTGCACACTGTCAACACTTATTTGACTGTCCTTATTTGTTAAAGTTGCCAAATATTCTCCATAAAAATACCAAACCACCAGCAAAGAGTAGTGAGTAGCAGACGGGAAAAAAAAAAAAAAACACTGGCCCATGAAATACTCTTCTGCCATTTTCAACTAAATACTAACTTTAGTCTCAAACTTGTTATCTGTGAAAAGATAAATTAACTTATGAAGTTATACACATTACAAAAGAAACTTTTATATTTAAAAAGGACCCTGGAGTCCCTTTAAATACTTATTTTCCAAAAATACTTATGGGGAGGGAAGTAAAATTTGATGTACACTAAGTATTGATCAGAAACTGGCAGAAAGCAAACTTGATGTTTGCTGACAGAGAAATCATGCATGACCAATTGTGAAATATCAGAAATAGCTAATACTGCCCCCAGAGCATACATGGCATCAGAATCTTTTACTTCATTTTTCACGTGGCTACTTTTTTCTTCCTGGACATGCTTGGTTCAGGCTAGTATTGAGATTCGTTGGTGCTATCTGAACAGAGAGCTATATTATATTTTTCTGTAACAAGAAAAGCTAACACCTGTGTTTTCTCTTTTAGAATCTTGAAAAATCCTCATTCTTGTGAAAACTGAAAGCTGTATTCAGATGTAAACAGAATAAAGGGGGCTTTCCTTTGTACATGAAATATGTCACTATTTGGAGTACACAGCATTTTACAATATTTAGTTCATTGACTAAGACAGTTTTGACAAGGCAAAAATAACAAGGACAGAGGCAGTGTGTAGAGTTTTTAGCCTTTTGTTTCCAAATCATGGGTAGTTATTTGAAAACTGATAATAAAAGAGTCACAGCTTAATCTTGTCACCTGCCCAGATGTGGGTTTTCTCAGTAGTAGCACATTAAAGAGGCTCCAATGCCCCAAATCAGGGATGCTGACCTGCAGTAAGAATGGAGAAAATATTGACTGCTTCCTGTGTTTTCTTTGCACTCAGAACGAGCTGCCTTTACAATGACCCAGAAATGTCTTCTATGGAGAAGGAGTAAGAATCCCCATCAACAACAGCTATGTGGTTACTTATAGAGCTGTATGGCTGGGCTTGCAAAAAAAAAAAAAATGCATTCAGGATTGGGTAACCCCCCTGTAGATGTTCAGCTTTTATTACTGTATTTCTGAAATTAGAAACTTAAGACAAATTTTCCAGTTTAATCTTCCCACTCTAGTGATCGCCACTAAGGACTATGTAAGTCATTCTATGACATTCTATTTTTCCAATTCAAAATTGAGAAGATAACCATTGGGGCCAGATGTGACAGTGTTTGGGCAAGAGGAACACAACTCTGCTTTCTGAACCGTATCATCTATTATAATTAGTGGAAGCTTGGATTTCCGTGTGAATATAGTATTTTGATGATGGAGAAAGATCCTTGTTTTGCAAATTCCAGGAGATAATTGAGTCTGCACAGGACTTTAGGAATGATGGAGTTGGATGATTCCCATCCTGTGAGAAATAGGAATCTAACACATACTGATTTCATGGCATTTGCCAGACTTTGTGTAAGCAGCCCACACACAGTATCTGATTTTAATCCTCAGAATAAACATAAGGTACATTTTACAAATAAATAAGAGAGGCATAGAGAGATTATCTAGCCAGTTCAGTGTTTTATAGCCATTAAAGAGATGGCCAGAGAAATATATGCATAAACTGATCTGCCAAAATGAATCTCACTATTCTCTATGACTAATACAAAAATTTAAACTGCCCAGAACTGGAATTTCAAATTTAGTTATGCAGATCTGGAGCCAATAATTTTGAAGTCAGAGGTGCTCTCTGTGCTCACATATGAGTCCTGTCCCTGGCTGAAGAATAGAAGTCACTCACCTAAGAGGCCAGAGCTCAGTAGAGGCCATGTAGGGGCCAGAGCAGCAGCTGAGCCCTCCCAACAAGGGCCTTCTAAGTGGCTTTGAGTGGTAGGGCATGAACACTGTCTTTATCCCCAGACACCAAGAAGAGGAGGCAGTGATCAAATGTCAATGTGTCTCTGTTGTAGCCTTTTTGTTGTTGTTGTTCCCTTGAGGCCCAAAGAGAAGTTGGAAAGACACAGTTAACTGCTTCTGCAGATGCCATGTTGACTTTACAACTTAGAGGAAGTATAACAAAATTCCAGAATGTCCCAACTGCAAAGGGCACAAAGAACAAAAGTTTTAATCACATGGCTATTTTTCTGAAAGTCACTGTTGTCCTACCTTTTCAGATGAAGGCTACAAAGCAAATTGAATTTGAAATTCTGCAAAGGAGACATAAATCTCAGCCCACCATAATCCATTTTGCAAATACTGTACATTTCCTCCTTTAGCAAAACAGCACTGCTTGAGCAGTTACAGCTCACAGCCTTGTTAAGGAGCTTTGTAAAAGGTATGTCCTGAGTCCTGGTCACTCACTGGCCTGTTGATGAATGGCTGTTACATCTCTGGGCTTACCCACTCCTCTGCTGCTTTGCCTGGTACACAGGGCTCTTTGAGTTGAGAGGAGAGAGAGCATTGCTTCCAGGGTGGGTTCATCCAGGATGGACATGGGGAGGGAGGGATGCGACAAGCTGTCACAGCAAATGCCCACTTGGTCTCTCTGTCCTAAGTCATGCAGGGCACGTGATGACCATGAGAAGTGCAAGCTTTCAGTACAGGACAGGAGTGCCAAGTTTGTTTCTTTTACTTTCTGACTTGCAGTCCTAGATTTTTGGCTTTCTTGATGTTAGGATGAGGGGCTTTGCTTGGTTACTCTATCTTCTATTGACTACAGGGTGTTAGGGACAGGGAAGAATACTGTGTGGAAGCATTTTACACCTTCTGTAGCTAAGATGCAAAGGGTGAAGTGTAGAATGGACACAAGCTCTTTCACATGCCTCTGTCAGGATGAAAATAAAAAGAAGTATGTGCTGAACTCCGAGAGAGAAGGGAAAGTTAGCGTCCTTCTCCCCTCTCTTCCTACATAAAACATAAATGCTTTTATTTGACATGAAATAAGATTGTCAGATACTTTATGAAGAATCTCATTCAATTCATTAGAAATGAAAATGGCCTATTGCATATTATCAGAAGGCTGCTTTGTTTCACTGCAAAGGTGACTGTAGAAAGCTTAGCTCACTATGAGGTAAATGCCTTTAAAATACTTACTTCTCATTAAATGTAATTTTCCCAAAAAATTATTAAAAAATAACCCTATGTATTTTTTTCCTTCACTTTTTTCATTTTTAGGTTCACATTTTATGTATTTATTTATGTCCTAAACCTATAGCCTGGCTTTTGTATTTTTGTATGTATTTAAAAATTATCTGATCAAAGATGGTTCAGTTTAACTAGATGTAAATTAGTAGCATTTGCAATGGCTTGATTAATGCCATGTGATAACTGTTGTATCAAAACTCTGTCCAGAGTGTTTCCCTGTTTTAGCTTATAAGAAAGTTGTCAGCTTATAACTGTGTCTTGTTCTCAGCCTTTTTGGTTATAAAAACTAAAGGGATGAATTAAACCCCATAAAGTTTACCAAAAAAGTCAGAAAAACAAAGTGTTTCAAAATGGGCAGCCTGGTATAAATGTTGGTTTTTTATTTGGGCCCCAGCTGAGGAAATATAGTCACCATATACTTGTACTTGCATATATTTTTTGAGAATCCTTGATTGCATGCAGTGGTTTAGACTTGTCAGGCAATGTTCCTCACATTTTGGTTTTGTATACCTTCCTGGCTTGTGAACGGAAGTGAACCAACCCCATGAGAAAGAAAATAAAATTGTTGTCACCAGATCAGACTACTACAGACTTCTTGGATTTACTATGGCCCAAAGCACATGTTAAGACCAATGCTCTACTGGTATAAAAAATTACTCTACAGGAAAGATATATTAAGAGAAAAAACACAATGGATAAAAAGGGGGCAACTCCAAAGTAAACTTGGGATGAGACCAGACCTGCCTTCTGGCACCCTTCACAGTGCCAAGCGTGGCTGGGCTCCAGAAACACACTGAAGAGACAAGATCACCACAAGTTTAGTCACTGAAGGGAAGAGATGATCTTCCTGTTTGAAAAAGCACCTGCGGCTCTACTCCTATGAAGACACTGGACATAATACACATGGTTGAGGACACACTGAACTTGATTCTTAACACGCTGTATGAGCATGCTTGCTCCAACTTAGTGTAGACAAATGGCAGGAGGTTCTCAGCCCAGTCAGCTACAAAATGGTGAAATTTCTGAGGATATTTCAAAAGAAAGATCCTTTACTCAAGTTGTAGACAAGCAGCATGGCTTACCAATGGCTTTGTTTGCAAAACTGCCAGAAGGAATGCTACTGAACTGCAGGAATCCCACAAGTAAACAGCATTAAAGCCTTCACAACAGGCACCCTGATGATTCAGGAGGCCAGAGACAGTACAATCTGCAGATGCCTCCTAAATTGCCTTTCTCAACCAATGGTTTCTCTTTTTTTAATAACTAATTTCTCAGATTATTCACTGGCTTTCAGTCCTCTTCCTCTAAGTTAGATGTACTAGAACTTTGTATTTCATCCACTAAACAGCAGAAGAGAGACACAGGTGACTTGAGGGGAAAATTTGTTTGTTTTGCAAGGCTGGGGATGGACCCCAAGGCCTTGTAGGTGCCAAGCAAGTGCTCTACCAGTGAGCTGCACCCCAACTCTAAGAAAATTCTAGACTTATTCTCTAGATGTTTGGGAACCCAGATGTGCTCCCTGTACTGGATGATAGATTCTGTCAACTTGAGAAGTTTAAAAGTTTAATTAAGAGCCAGGATGCTTATTTTATAAACATCCTCAGCCTGTGCAAGAGGAAGGCATGGACATTGTATGAGTTCTACACCCCTACTCCATGGTAGCCTGCTTATAAAATAAGGAGGGGAGAGAGGCTGGCTAGAAGCCACAGCTGCTGCCCTTCCCTTTGCTCTTTGTTGTTTTCTGCTTTCATGAACTGCTGTTCCCTGCCATGTGCCACTCTGCCTGGGAGCTAGCTGAGTATGGACTGAAATCTCCACAAACTGTGAACTAAATAAGCCTTTCCTTCCCTAATTTTGGATGTCAGGTATTTTGTCCTGGAAATGAGTTGAAAGCAACTGAGACAGAATTTGGTACCAGGAGTGTGGTTGTTGCTGTGTCTACCTGACCATGTTGTTCAAGAGTCTTTGGGAATGGCTTATGGGAAGAGATAGGAAAGATTTGAAGATATTGCCTACTAGGAAAGGGCTGGAATGTCTTCAGCTCTTGGGAGATTCTGGCCAGAACTCAGACCAAAATGCTGATAGAAAACCTGCCTACAAAGACCAGACTGGGGAAGTTCTGCTGGGAAGAAGGACTGCATTGATTGTTGGACTCTAGTGTTATGGCTTGGCAGAAAATTTGTCTGAAATTTGCTTGTGTCCAGAGACATTGCCTGATACTTAGATTAAGCATGGCAACTGGTTAATCTGGCAAAAGAAATCTCAAGGCAGTCAAATGTTAAGGCAGTGGCATGGCTGTTGTTGGGGGCTTTTAGTCAGATTTATGTTGAGAATCAAGAGCAAAGAGCCCAGTAGGATGATTTAAAATGTTGTGAATTTGGCCAGAAAAGAAGTACCAGCAACACTGTTAACTGCAGAAAATAGAGCTGAGATCTCTATTGCCCAGGAGGAACAGAAGAGTACAAAAGATGCCCTGAGGGCATCACAGGAGGTAGAGGTGCTTGCCCTTTGCAGCCTCAGAATTGCAAGGGTGAGGGACTTTGTTTTGTGGAGAAAGCTGCAGAGCCCCATGTTCCAGAATGGAGGCAGCGGCCACACCAGATTCCAGAATGGTGTTGGTATATAGAATTTGTTCCTCAGAATCAGGATCAGAGTGCATAGTGATCCAGGTACTCAGCCCCTACAGCTAAGAGAGAAGGAAGCCTGGATACTGCTTCAGCTGACAGCAGCCTTTGGCATCATCCACATGACAGTAGTTTTAGATGCATTCAGAATGTGGGAGTTCTGAGGTTAAGGAAGCTTCCACCTTGATTTCAGAAGAAGGCCTGGGAGGCCAGGTAGTGTGCCCCTGAGAGAAAAGCCATGGGAGCTACCAGCAGAAATACCGTAGGGGTAGGACCATGTAAGGCTTTTGAAGCTGACAACTCATTACAGGTTGCTTTGGATGTTCCACATGAAGCTACAGGACATATTAATGTTTGCCCTTCTGGATTTCAGACTTGTTTTGGTCCTAATGCTGAAACTGTTAAGACTTTGGTAACTCTTAGAGATGGACTAAAATGTCTAGTTGCCAAGTTGAAAAGGGATGGATTGTCCTGGTTGATATGTTGTGTCAACTTGAGAAGTTTAAAAGTTTAATTAAGTGACTCAGCAGAGAGCCAGGATTCTTACTTTGTGAACATCCTCATTCTGTGCAAGAGGAGGGTACGGACATTGTATGGGTTCTATACCCCCAGCCCCAGGGGAGCCTGCTTATAATATAGGGAGGGGAGAGAGGCTGGCTAGAAGCCACAGCTGCCACCCTTCCCTTTGCTCTTTGCTGTTCTCTGCGGCCATGAACTGCTGTTCTCTGCCATGTGCCACTCTGCCTGGGAGCCAGCTGAGTATGGACTGAAATTTCAACGAACTGTGAGCTAAATAAACCTTTCCTTCCTTCATTTTGAGTGTTGGGTATTTTGTCTCAGCAATGAATAAAAAGTAACTGAGACACTACCAAATTTTTTTTTTCTTAGTTCTTAATTTCCATTTTATAAAGTTAGCTAGTCCCTTAATTAAACACTTTGACGTCTAGAAAATGATTTTTTGGTTTTTTAATTTTATTTTTTGTTTTGATCATTATTATACTGTTTACTTCTTGCTAGTCAGCTCTTGTTAGATATCACTTATTTCAGGCAGATTATTATGTTTCCTTCACAAGCTTATAAAGCAGGGTTCTATGGGAAACAGAACCGATGGAACATATATGTTCCTACATAAACTTTTTTTTTTTTTTTTTCAACTGGGGATTGAACTCAGGCCCTTGCACTTGCCAGGGAAGTGCTTATACTACTGAGCCATCTCCCTGGCCCCCCTACATAAACTTTTAACAAGGAATTTATTAGGTTGGCTCATGTCGTGATAGAGGTGTGAGAGCCCCGCCTTCAGCCCTTGGACTAAGGACCAGGAGAGCTGTAGCTGCTCAGGCCATGCCACCAGGAGTCCTAGCACAAGAGCAAGGCCAATGCACAGCCTGAGCATCAGGCTGAAAGCCTAAAAGGGCTTTGGAGGGCTGCAGGTGCCAGTGCCCAAGACGTGAAGAACTTGCAGCCTGAAGTCCACTGGCAGAAAAATGCTCCTGTGAAGGGTAGGAGAGCACTGGCCAGCTGGCCCCCCTTTGGCTTTCTGGCCCCTTGAGGCCCAGAGATCTCATAGTGCTGCCCACCTTAGGGACAGGCCTCCCCTCTGTTCACAGCTGCCACAGGGCAGCTTCCCTAGAAACACCAAAGACACTTCCCTCCCTCGGCCTGGTCAGGGCCATGCACAGGGGTATCCATCCCTACAAGGAACAGACATTTACTAAAAGGAGATCCTTTATTTCCAAAATAGAGTAATAATGGTCCTTCCTGAACTGACTTCAGGAACTAGTCTTAACATGCATTGTTTGTTTCCTTGCATCATTTTGAGAAGGGGTAAAATGCTTCCAGAAACAATTTGTAAAGAAACAAAAAGATTAGACCTTATTTCTGAAAAAAAGCTTGGCAACTAGGGGAGGATTGTATTTTACTAGATTTTTCTAGTACTATAAAGAGTTTGCATGATTTCTTTTTCAGTAAGTCTTTTGAGGAATAAAAAAAAGAAAATCCCACCAAGCCCTTACTGAGTATTTCTCCTTGTGTTTCTCCTCTCTCTCCCTCACAGTATGGACCTGAAACTGAAAGAGAAGCCGTAGCTGGCTCTAGCTGAGGAGAAGGCTGCTCTTTGCTTTATGGTTCTGCAGAGAAACACATCTACACAGAAGAGACAGGGCTGACGTCACCTTTTTCCACTTTGCGCTACCTGGTGCCATTCTAAATTTCTAAGGGGTGAAACAGGAAAGGTGTTCCTGTGTTTACTTCTTCCATTTCTATATATGAAGTTGTGTGTGTTTTCCTATTTTGCCAATTATGTGCCTCAGAGTTTTTAGTTGAACCTTAGCAAAAAAGTAAGCCTTTCCATTTCTAGATTTGGTTGTCCTTGGTCAGTGGTATTTGGTCCCTCAGGTGGATGTTACCAGTACAGTACATTCAATCCACAGTCAGGGATGAATGGACTTGTCCATAGACAGCCCCTCCACACACAGCTGGGTTGCTCCGCAGTGATCACTTCCAATGTCAGGCACACAGGGCTCATACTCTGCTCTACGCTGTCCCCGGTGAGAGCTGCTGCCTGCCTGTAATGCCACCTTTTAGATTCTGAGCCTGCGTAAGAAGCCATAAGCCAGACCCAGGTGTAAAGACTTCACCAGCTGCGGGCATCATTATCACATGAGTCGTCATTCACTTCCCCGAGGGAAGCCAAGCTTTCTTCTATTAATTTTATTTTAGTTGTCATGACTTACAAAAACTGATCTTTTAAAATATTATTTTCTCCAACTAATGTTGAATACCTTCACTTGTGAAACAACGCTGAATGTTAGTGGCTGTCTATACTTTGGATCACAAACCAGGCTTAAGAAGGTATACTCTAAGTGCCAAGAATTCAAAACTAAAGTAACCTGCTCAGAAATTATTTGGGAACATTCATTTATCCGCATTTCTCTTTCACATGCATCATAAAAAGTGATTTGCTTTAAGACATTTTAATCTGACCCCAGATTTAAAATTAAATGTATGTACTACCATTTATAAGTCAATTTCTAATTTTCATATGCCCTTTAAAATGCCAATATGACTTCTAATCTGTTGGCTTTCAGCAGAGTTTGGCAAATTCTGCCAACTCTAGGACACCATCATAAGCTAAGGGTGGTTTTGACATTGTGGTTGAAAAATTTAGTTTTTCATGACACAAGAAAATTATTCAAATTTTAGTATCCATAAATAAAATGGTATTGAAACACAGCCAGACAAATTTATTTTCCTACTGTCTACAGCTACTTTTGTACTACCTCAGCAGAGTTAAGTAATTATAACAGACCAGAGGGCCACAAATCCAAAATCATTCATTTCCTGTCTTTACAGAGAAAGTTCGCTGTCCTCTACCCTACCAAATACATCTTTTCCCACCCCCTTCCCCTAACCCAACCCCCACAATTTGTATTTGGTTTCTCCAGCAGAATGGACAATCTTTTTCCTGGCAAAAAGAAATTTTCTATTTCTGCAGACAATCAAAATATGTCATTGGCTGAAAAAGAGCGCTAGGTACAAGAGCCTGGCTCAAGTTCTAACTGCGCCACTCCAAGTGAGCTCAGCAGTCCCTCCTGAGCTATTGCCCGGCATTGCAGGGGTCCTTGATTCCCCCCTGGGCACCATTCTTAGTTCTCCCATGTCACCTCTTACAAGTAACCTGGCAGAAACACAGAAGAAATGGAGAGAGGGCTCTGCCAGAGTCCCCAGGTAGTACCTTCACTGGGGACAGCTGTCCAGGATGCTTTGAGCCATAGTACAGAAAGCCCTGAATTCTTTTGAAGTAGATAATCTTTGCACTGATGACTGAGCTTCTCTGCCCATATTTGCTCCAAATCTGTGTTGTTCCCCTTGCACAAATGTTCACACTACGCACACGTGTTTACTCTTTCCTCCATTAGCCTCCCTGGTTAGCTATCATCCTTTCCCACACCTTCCACATTAGAAAACATACTGTTTTGGGTCTCTTTCTTGTATCTGGCTGGTCTGACAACTCCACAGCCCACCCACTCTCAGGCCCTACCTCCACCATTAGAAACCCAAAGAATGACTGCCCCCACATACGGCATTGACATAAGTATAATTACCCAGTCCTGGTTTGTATTGGGTACCTGCTTCACACAGTCCTTCAATAGTGTTCCATTTTGGAAAATGAACTCCATGGTCTATACCACCATGTTTACCCCAAGTCGTGTGGAATCCAGGGTTCAGCTCCAGTTTACAGCCAGCCCGGTGCAGCAACAACCTAACCATTCACAGTCTTGGAACTCATCCAGCCTATTTGTTTATAGTCACTGACTCAGGTTTGAAGCTTTGTCTTCCCACACAACAATGATGAGCATCTGTCCAGATCCAACAATATTGTTTGAGTTGTCTTGTGGGCTACAGATCTATTCTGATATTTAGGTGTCTGCTATGTTATTACCTTAAAAGGACACATTAATTTACATGCACGTGCTAGAGAAAATACCATGTGAATTCAATCCAAGTAAATAGAAACCTAGGTAACTCCTGAAAATAGTCTACGCAGATAGATAGACAGCTGTAAACTTACACATTCATCTCTCTAGCTCTTGCATTCTGTGCATTCTTGCTTTGGTTCTGACTTCTGGGAACTGCTTTGCATTTTTCCCGTAGATTTGTTGCTAAAGGAACCAAGGGCTCATTGTGGGGCAAAAGTATTGTTTTTATTCAAAAGGGCAACTGGTCTTTGTGTAGCTCTTGATTAAAAGAACAAAAATTTGCACTGAAGATCCTGTGGGGGAGTAAAGAAATTTAGGGGCAGTAGCTGGGTAAGGAAGAAACCCTGAAGTTCCTGTTGAAGCCATACAATGTTTTATAGGGTTCCTCCCAAGGCCTGTGCTGAGAGGTGGGAGGAGTGCCTCCTCCTGGCCTTCAGTAATGGCCCTTAACTACCTTGGCAACGCACGCATCGCAACGCCCCAGTAGTTTGCTCCTTTAGAAACATTAAGATGTACATGAATTAACCTTTTATAGATTTAAAGATTTTTCTACTATGTATAGGATTGCTCAGAATAGAGTATGGATTAGACTTTGTTTTGGTAAACAAATTCTCCCTAAATAGTGTGGATTAATAATATAAAAATATGTAACAACACAATATATACCTATGTAACCTGTCTGTATCATTCAGAAATAAAAGTTGATTCCACATGTTTACGGCTTGCTTTCTCTGCGTCAACAGCAATCTTTCTGCAGCTTCCCTCTGACGCATTTTTATTTGGTCGTCAGTGAGCTTGACCCTTGTTACTGGCAGACTCTATAGCTATTCGGGCTTTCCTGGCCACACCAGCTTAAAACACTCTCTTTTCAATTGTACCTTTCATGCATCAGAGTTTGATCTGCTATCCTTTCAAAAGGATTATTTACTCTTCAGTTACACAGTTTCTCATTTTGGAAATATCTATCTCTCTCATGGTAACCTGGCTTTGCCAATTCCTCTCTTCTCTGCCTATTGATCTAGATTTACAACTTTTCAGTTGTTTTGTTTTCAAACTTTTATAACCTTCGTAATAACCCAGGGTTCATCTAGTTTTACTGCAGAGGTCCTTGATTTCCCTCTGGGCACTATTGTTAATTCTCCCATGTCAGCTTTTACAAGTAACCTGGCAGAAATACAGAAGAAGTGGAGAGAGGGCTTTGCCCAAGTCCCAGTGCAGTAACTTCACTGGGGACAGCTGCCCAAGATCCTTTGAGCCACAGGTACAGAAAGCTCTGAGTTCCTTTGAGGTAGATAATCTGCAAGGGTGACTAAGCTCTCCTCTTATTAGAGTCACCACTGTGCTTTTAAAAGAAGAAAATAATAAACAGATGTAAACTCCTGCCTTCTGGTAGGTTGTTGGACTAACCAAATGGGAAGTCACAGTTACTGAGGTACCACATGTTCTCATGAACTAGAGAGGAATTCAGGGGATACTTGCCTCACTGAAGGAAAGGAAGAAGCAGAACAGAAGGCTGAGATGTTCTTGCAGACAAATCAGTGCTATTCCAAGGTAGACAGTGAGACTGAATCTGCTCTGATTAGCTAACCCAAATAGTAGCAAATGGAGGCAGGCAATGTGTCCAGCACTGGAGGAAAGGATGGATAAAATGTAGCTGGCAAACACTGGTATGCTACACAGCTGTGAGAAGCAACAAACCCTATTTATAGAGCAACATGTAAATCATACGGTAAAGGTGAAAAGCCAAGATCAAGCTCAACACTTATAGAACAGTGCTATATGCATAACTTCTAATGCGGAGCTGTGTTTTATGCAGAGTCCGTGCGTATTTAAGGACTTAGCACACTGGCTAGAGTAAGTGTATGGTGTAGGATGAGGGATGCAGTTGGAGCCTAAATCAAAATCAGAGGAGGACTTCTTTGGCTGAAGTTAAAAATGGGAGAAAAGAAGACCACGTTTCAGGCCCAGAAGCCAGGATTTTCAGTAGCTCATAGACAAGCTGTGATCAGGCACTTTGGGTCCTCAAGAGGGTGTCCCCTTCCACAGTGTCTCCTGTGCCATTTCTCTGTGCTCAGGAATCCCAGGTGCAGTGCCAGCAGGCTGCCTCGGTTGCATCAGCCTTTATGGTCATGAAGCTTTTAAGGAAGCTGGTGCCTTTGGCCACATCAACCCTCACACTGCCACAGGCTTTATCAAACAAGAATACTTGCTTATGAGGCTAATTTACCAGAACAGTTTTATTCACATGCCTTCAAAATATTACTTTTTAATCAGGCAAACATCTTTTTCAATATGTAACCACTGTAATAATACTTAGAGGACAAAAGTGAATACCCACCATCTCTGGCCTCATGCCTAGCAAAGAAACTGCAGCCCTTAACACAGGACCATGCTTTTCTTGTGACTGTTTTCCCACTAAGATCAGTGACTGAATTACCCAGTTTTCTCCTGTATTCATACCTATTGGTGTAGTAACAAGTTTCTGTTGATTCTAATTACTCATGGTAGGAGATGTATCTCACCAGGCAAAAACTCTGACCTAGTGTATGCTGACCCATTACTGCTTGGGGAACACAGATCCAGGTTCCTGTGAACCTCAGGCCACACCACTTCCATCAATTGACCAATAATGCATAAGCCTGTTAAGACACCTTATTAAATACATACTGTTGGTTTGCAAATAGCTTGATTATAAAATTCATGGCTGAACAAAGCTGCTCTAACAGATATATTTTCTCCTTAAGATTTGCTCCATGGACTAGGGGTGGAACTCAGTCATGGAGCATGTGCTTAGCATATGCAAGTGGTCTAGATCCAATTCCCAGCCTCAAAATGAAGAAGGCACATCACTGTCTTCTTACATCAGGAGTAGTAGACTGCCCTTCATCACTACAGTTAGGAGATATTTTAAATAATCAAGTCTTGGTAAAAAAAAATCTCAAGAAGTCCAAAAATAAAAAAAAACTCCTCTTAGAACTATGTAAGCTGTGGAAAGGGGCACTTATTTACAGTATGAGAGCTAAAATAAAAAGGCTTAGCTTTACCTTGTGTCACATCCACTGGAATCATGTACTCCAGGTAACTCAAATTTTATTCCACTATGTACACAACAATAAATGACAATAAGTGCAAGGAGTGTTGGTTTAGGGATAGAAATAAATTTTAGTGAATAAGTGAATTTACAAGTATACAATCCATGGATAATAAAGACCTACCATGTCCCATAACTTGGTGCCCTTAAACAATGCTTGCTTACTTTCCTCATTTTGTGAGTATGGGAAATCCAGGAACATTGTAGCTAGTCTGTCACTTCGAGTCTCTGGCAGGTGCAATCAAGGTGTTGACACCCAGGGTCTCTCACAAGGCTCCATCAAGGTTTCGCTGGGACAGAATCTACACCCAAGCTAACTCGTTGTTGTTGGCAGTATGTTGTTTATGAACAGTTGTTTTGGAGCAGAGGGCTTTATTGCTGGAGCCTGTGCCATGGAGGCCACTTTTTGCCCTCTGGTTCTGTTCAAATGGCAGCTTATTCCTTGTAAATCAAAGAGAAATGCTAATAAGATGAATATTACAACATGTAATAGGATCTCAGAAACAATATTGGTAAGTTTTGCTCTATTTTTAGAAGTAAATCCATAGGTCCAGCCCACCCTCCATGGGAGAGGACTGACACATAGTATAAAGACCAAGAGACCATGGAGGCCTCTTGAGAAGTCTGCCTACCATACACCAGGCCTTCTGGCAATTTCTCTCAGAGCAGCCTGCTTCTCCCACCACTTCCTGAAGTTACCTCCCATAATGCTCTTTTCTTTCTCCTTTCTGCACATGCCCAGAATCTCTTTCATTCAGTCACATTCTGGTTTCAATTTTAGTCTCAAACCATCATGATCCCATTAGTCTCTGTGCCCTTGCCAATCTCTGTGTAAGAGAAAACATTCAGCTCTCTTCCCTGAGCTGTTGAGAACATTTTCTACCATTTCATTGTCTGAAATCACACATAGCAGGGGTTCTGCTCACTGCCCATATTACTCTGAAGGAGTTACTTACCATGGAGCCTTAATTTACCCACATGTCTGCAATGTGGATAAAATTCTTACCTTACAAGTTTATGTAATAGGTAAGTGGGACTTAAATGCCATGCCTAATGCTCAGTGCAGAGAATGCATTCAGAAAACACTGTTCTCCTCTTCTTTTTTTTATCCAGCCTTTTCTAATAGCCAGGATCTTCAAATCCACTGCCAACTCTGCCTTTGGTTTCTGACAACTACACCAGGGTCTCATTTTCTTTCCTCCCCTCTCTTCCAAATAGACAATTCCTTTAACTCTAAGATAGTTGTAGTACTCTACCTTTACTTCTCCCCTTACTCCTCCTTTTGCATACTTTTCAATCTCCTATCTGCTTACTTTGACTCTTGATTTTACTTTATATTTGGAAACAATTAGAAGAAATTACTTTGCTGCAACATTTGTAAAAGGGCTGATCATCTATAGGATACCTCATCATATTTTCTGGGAAGATGGACTCTTTACCTGACCAAACCAGAAAATGAATAGTTAAATGCTACTATCATCTAGTTCTTAGCTGTCATTTGAGTTTCAGACATTGTCTCATTAAATGTCCCTTATAGAAAAAGAATCTTATCTAGAATCACATATGTAGTTGGCATGTTTCTCTTCTTTTTTTAATTATTATTATTTTTTATTTGAGACAGGATCTTGCTATGGAGTTCAGGCTGGCCTTGAACTTTCAAAGATCCTCCTGCCTCAGCCTCCTGGATGCTAGGATTACAGGTGTGTACCACCAGCCTTGGCTTTAAAATAGATTCTTTTTGGTGTGGGGAGATACTGGGAATTGAACCCAGGACTTTACACTTGCCAGGCAGGTGCTTGTGCCACTGAGCCATATCCCCAGCTCTAGTTGGCATGTTTCTTTAGCCTCTTGCAATCTGACACAATTCTTCAGTCTTTTCATGATTATTATGACTTTGACATTTATGAAGATTAGTCACACTTATTCCATAAAATGTCCCTTGTCTAGGACTTGGATCTTCAATTCAGATCGCTCACCTTTGCCAACAATATTTTGGAACTGATTTGTGTTTTTCTCATTCCATCCTACTGATACTCATTTTTATTTTGATTATGGCAATGTCCACTATAAAAGTAATTTTTTCTCCTTGTAATTAATGAGTATTTTTACGGAGTATACATTCATAGCCTGCTGTCCATTACATTTTTAAGAATTTATATCAGTGTGAACTTGTACAATCTTACTTTATGGAACAGACTTCAGTCTGTTTGTGGGATTGTTTATTTGGATCCTCAGATTGCCCTGAGTCTGGCTATCAGGAGCCCCTTTAGTCCAGTTCCTGTACTTTTGATAATCCTTATCTGAGCAATTCTCCACTCTTCAGCACAAGCAGTCTCGTTTCTGCTTGTACTTCTCCCTGTGCAGCCCACTGGAACCGCTCATTTCTTTGCAGAGCCCTGGTTCCTTTTAGTGGCGAGGGGCATTTGGGAGCCAAGACTCAAATGTGTGTTCAGTGGTAAGTGGTGAGTCACTGCCTGGGACACTTACTAGGCAGAGTTAGAATGCACATGTGCATACACACACACACACACACACACACACAATCACACACACACACACAATCACACACACACACACAATCCACACACTGTATTCCATATTTCTATGTGTTTGT